ATCAAGCACCTCTGGCTGTCCATCTTGTAGACAGACTCCACCTGGACTTGACCCGCCCCCGCCTTCCCAATGACATGCCCTTGGGCAGCCTCTGAGCCCTCACCCACCCTGTCTGTTGATGGTTGGAGCTCATTCCCCTTCCCAGCAGCCTGTCAGCCAGTTTCTTGCAGTAAACCTCCCCCTCTCCGTGTCTCTCATGTATTTTACTGATTTTGCTTCTCTTCAGAACCCAGTGTAAGACAATGCTGTTGCACACTTTAGTCAATGTAACTTTTATATGAACCAAGAAACGGGCAAGTCCCATGTCTCGTTTTATCCTGGAACCAATGACGAGGTCCTCTCTGCACACGCTGCTTATAAATCCCTCTGCGTGGAACCGTCTCTGTGGGCATCAAGTCATCATGTGCTCGCCCCGATGCCCCCACCTCACGTCCATGATAGTCTGTGCCCTTCAGGTCCTCCAGCCGGGGACCCTGTTCCCACCCCCTGCCATCTGCTGCCCATCCCGTTTTAGCAACCAGCCCTTTTGGAAAAGGTTGCGTGGAGAACAGATTTGCTCTGTGATCTTTCACCCAGATCAAACCAGAGTACCTGTCAGGGTCCAGCACCCAGGGTCCCTGGTGGCCCAGGTGGGTGCTTGGTTCTGAGTGGTGTTCTGATCCCACCCATGGTGCTTCAGGCGAGGACTGGTAGTCTGGTCCCATGGACCAGGGCTGGCTGGTGTCCCCCTGCAAGCGAGCTCTCCAGTTCCCTTCACAAGGGCCTCCTGGTGGACCTCAAGGCTGTTTGTGCATTTGCTGCAACCTGTGCAGGGTCTACGACTGCACCTGTGAGCACCGTGAAGTTCAGTGGCGCAGGTTTATTGAAGTGGAAAGAGCTTGACCACAGGACATGGACATCTGACCAGATCACCTTCAGAGAGGTCCGTCCATGTGGACGCTCAGTGAGAAAGGCCACTCCCCACCTGCTGTGAACTTTACCAGTCAGAGTGGACGACAGCCTCCCCCTGGACAAGTCTTGGATGCGTTGTCCTTACTGGAGGTGGTGTCTCTACCAAGTTTACATTTTGTCACGTATGAGAGGCTTTTGTTGGATGTTCAGATGTGGGGTGTGGTGAGCGTGTCTGCGCCACCTGACGCTGGCCGGGGTCCCCTCTCCCTGGTTTGCCGTGTGGTGGTCTGCTGGTCACTCATTTCAGTGTGATCTTGTAACATCTCATGTGATCAATTTGTCCCCGTTTTGTTCTGTGCCCCCTACAGGGCTGGTTTCTGTCGTCGCGTGTTGTCTGGGTACAATTTTTGTGCCAAGTTCTGTTACTGTCATTTAAGGGGTCTCCTGTCTGATCCTAGGTGAGGCTGTCAAGCATCCCTTCTCCACGTGGCTGCCTGGGACCTCAGACTAGCGGGGTTGGGCATGTTTTCACATTTCTAAGGACCATCAGCTTTTTTTTGGTATAAGGAACTTTGTTCCAAGATGATCCGCATCTGTCATTTGGGTGAAGGGTAGTTTTGCAGAGGTTCTGCGTGGTCACACCGGTCAGCGTCCCTACCCACACTCTCAGCCTGGTCCTTTTGATAGTCGCCCTTCTCACGGAGAGAGCTCAGTTCACTGTAATTTCAGGGCTGGGCTTTGCCTTCTTCATTCTCTTTTCAGTTCTCCAAAAGTCCCCAATACCATTTCTGTATTTATTAATCTGTCAACAACAAACACTGCATTTTTCTGATTCTCCCCAAAATGAAAGCTGGCCTGTCCCGTCTCTACGGTGACCCCACACAGGGATACTTAATGGCTCTTAAGTGATACCTCGTCTACTTTCAGAAATTCTAAGAATCCCAAAGATTTCTTTTTGAGCCAGGAATGCGAGGTACGTTTGACCAGCTGCCCTGCAGAATTTATTAGACTCAAGGAACCATCCAAGCATCTTTTTCTGAAAAGCAGGGCCCCTTCCCCTTCACTCTGTCTGATGAGCCCTGGGCCCCCAGGATGGTCACCTGTCCATCCCTGGTCCTCCATGTGCTGACAGAGGGCGCTGGACACCTGAGCCAGGCGAGAACTGTGTAGGTATCACACCTTCCCACCACGCTCTCCTACTCAAGGAGTGACATGCAGGAGCTTCTGGTGCTGTCGTCGCAGGGGGTCACTGTGCGGGGGGTGGGGGGACACGGACACCTTGGGGAGCTGTCGCTGCTAAGATCACATTGCAACAGAGTAAGAATCAAGAGCGTATCATAGAATAAGTTTATTTACCTGAAACCATGGCTGTGACGCTCAGCACAGCACAGAAAGGAACAGCTGGTCTCTATTAACAGTCTAAAGTCAAACATGCGTTGTGATAAATTGACGTTCAGCATTTTATTAAGATAAATGCGTCACAATATTCGTATTGCACCAACATCTGTCTACTGCTTCTGACTTCATTAAATAAGTTACATTTAATACAGTGCATTAGCGGTTTGCACACTCGGAAGAACTACCATGATGCACTGAGGCCTGCCGCTCAGTGCTGTAGTGTTTCCATGAGTTTAGGAAGAGGCGGACTGTACAGAGGCCGACTGGGAACTGGCGTGGGTCAGTGACACTGCGTGAGAGGAGCTGGCCGCGTACACCTGCAGCATGCATTACAGCTCAGTGTGGACAATGGACATTTGGAGAAGTGAGGGGACTTGGCTGATGGCTTCTGAGTTCTTGGGTGAGGCCTCCGAAAGCTCAGTCTTCTTGAAGAGGCTCTCTGGTTGGTTAAGCTAAATTGTACGTTTGTAATTATGGTTTTGATTGAAAAGCTAACCCCTGCCCACCCCCGTAGGGAATACACGTTTCCTCCACAGAGCACACAGGAGCCTGGGAAATGCATCTACTTCCCAGCGTCCCTCATGCGCGGTCGGTGGATGTGTTGCTAAGAACACACATGCACGCAACTCAACACCCTTATGTCTGCACAATGCTCTAGGAAGTGGTTACTCCAGTATTGCTGAAAAGGAAAGAGAGAGGAGGTCAGCTGTAGGGACGCAGGAGGAAACGCAGAGCAACTGTTCACTTACGACTACGGCTAACACGGCAGAGGGAGGGGCTGCTCGGCCGGCCGGGAAGGCCAAGGCTGCGCTTCTGACAGGCCGGCCGAGAAGCCGCTCCGTGAGCCCACAGGCAGGCGTGGAGAGGCGGCAGGCAGGAGGAAGGGGGTTAGTGGGGCAGCCAGTGATGACGGGAGGGCGGGAGTCATCGGGCCGAGCCTGTCTCGGTCCCGTCCCCGGGCCAGCCTGCCAGCCTTTGGTCTGCAGTGAGGCTAAAGGACAGAATGCAGCTCATGGGAAATGCAGGCGCCCAAAGCGTCAGTGAAGGAGCATCTGCCCACAGGGGCCATGACCACTGTGAGGGACACAGCAGCAGCCGCTCGTGAGCGAAGCTGGCCAGGCCTCTCACAGGAAGGACAGAGCAGTCCAGCGAGGCACCAGGGGAGAAAGGGGCCCTTCTGGAATCTTTGTTGCCGGAGAAGCCTGAGGTGGGAGGACCTATGACCCCAGTGCAGGCCTGGGACAGTGGTGCTGACACGTGCCAGGAACGGGTCAGGTCCATCTAGGGACCCCTCAGAGCCTCGTGGCCTGGACACCTCGGGGTGGGTGACTGGTACTGGGGGCCCGACGACTAGCACAGAAACCCCTGATGCTAACAAGGATCAAAGGACCTGCCTGTCTCGCTGGGCCCTCATGGAGGCCCTGGAGCTACGTCACCGTCCCCCACCCCGTGAGGTGTCAGGAGGGCCCCATGGGAGCACAGCTGAGGGACAGGACTTAGGGTATCTCCCAGAGACAGTCACTGGCAGGCCGAAAAGCATTGGGCTTCTGGGGAAGAAAATACTCACTTTAGTCGAATGGTGGAAGGCATTGGAGAGAAACACCACAGTTAGCACTGTTAGTGACCACACGCTAAGACTGACCTCGTACATGCGCAAACATGGACCAGTCAGGATGATGCCAGTCCACGGGAAATAAAAATAGTTCTATACAATATGTTCATCTGGTCATGTGCTATTTACAGATTGTACAAAACACGCACGCGCGGGGACACGCACACTGCCCTCGTTCTCTGCAGCAGGCGGGCAAGCCAGGGACCCTCCTACCGCCCCAGCCTGGCTACGCGCTGAGGGCCGGCGGGCCGGACACCGCCATCGGCTGTGGAAAAGCTCAGCCACTTGACTTACAAATAAGACAGTTATTTTTGTATTCTCTGTCCACTTAAAATGTTTTATTTTCTTTTTAAACTAGATTGTGATGTGCCAATGAAATAGGCAATGTTGGCAAAAAAAAAAGTCTATTTTCTGTTTACAATAAAATACATTAGACATTTAAATAAATAACCTTAAAAACCTTGTGAGGGGACATGAAGCAGTTGGACAGTGTTTTCTGCACAGGCGAGAGCAGGCATACCTCTTGTTAGACTGATGTAAACGGAACCATGGAGACCCGGGAGGGGTGGGGGGTGGGTGAGGGCGGTGAGGGGGCGCAAACCAAAAATACTGACTGAGGTAGCAGGACTCTGCTCAGTGCAGAAAAGTTGGCTTATGACTAAAATTAGACTGTGACATCAAATGAAATCCAGATGATCATGCAAAGACACAACACATGCTACTGAGTTGGAGAAAACACCACACACATTCCTCCCCGAAAATCTGCCAATTAATTGCTGACATTAATCTGCTGGCTCAGCTGTTTTTATACAAGGATGAGTATTAAACAGAACACTGTACATGCTTTCTTCATCTACAAAAAAATATTTGCATAAAATAGTGTTAGTTCTCTGTACATGTCAATGGACACTTTCATTATGTATCAAAAAGGAAAGTCTTGCCCCACTGGAGTCGGGGAAAAGCAAAACAAAATGTAGACTATGAAACCTCCGTCACCAGCCAGTATGTTCATGTGAAAATTCAGCAGAAATAGACAGTTGCTTTAAATGATAAAAAAAAATTGATTAAGTTAAACATCTTCTGTTGGCCAAGCTGTCAGTCAAGACCAGAACATGTCGGTGAAGTTAGTGTCTGTGCTATAGACCCAGACCACCAGGGGCACCACGAGCACCACGAAGGGCCACGAGACGCCCGCGGTGCAGGCCGAGAGTGAGCCCGGCCGGGCCGGCTGCACACACTCTTTACCGGGCTCCAGGTAGTTGCGGGCCACGAACTTGAGCGTCTCGTCCAGGAGGATGACGGGCAGGGACATCTTCAGCACCATCAGCCACTGGGTCAGGTTGAGCGGCGTGATCTGGAAGATGAGCTGCGGGGCGGGGTGGGGGGCGTCAGACGCCTGCCTGTGCCCGGGTCCCCCCGGCCTCCCGGGTCCCCCCGGCCCCCAGCACGTACCGGCAGGGGCTCAACGTAGAGGATGAGGAAGTGCAGGGACATGGACAGGCAGATGGAGCCCACGAGCCAGATGTTCTCCCAGGGGGGCATCCGGAGCAGCGACTGGTTCTCAGACAGGCTGTGGACGAGAGCGGCTGTGAGGCCCTGACCCCGGGGAAGGGCCCCTTCTCCCCTGTGGGGACTGCACATGTAGGCCAGTCCTGCCCCAGCTGCCACGGTCGGCGCTCTTCTCCGTCACCCTGGGCACTCGGCCCATTTAGGAATTTGCTATTTTGGTCACTGGCTTAATTGGATGATGGGGTGTGGCCCCTGGGGGCCCCATCCTGACGCTCCGGCAGCAAGGACCGCGTTCTGTGTCTCGCTCACCTGTTGAGGGCATTACACATCTCTATGGTGACAAGGACAGACAGCGCCATTGTCATTGGGTATGGGGACTCGAAGATCGCACAGTCCACGCCCTCAAAGTCCGGGTTGTCGTCTTTGCACTGCAGGAAGTGGCTCTGCAACAAACACAGCCCAGGTCAGGCGCGGCCCCGGAGTCTGCCCCGTGCCGGGGAAGCCCCGCCTGTGCAGGCCAATCTGGGTGGCTTGCCGAATCCCCGGCCAGACGGCACGGAGCTACGTACCAGCTGGTAGAAGGAGACGCGAGGCCCGCCGTCAGCAGCGATAAACCACCAGGCAGCGGCACCCACGGTGGCAGCACCCACATAACCTGGGGGCAGAACGTCACAGCGTCACCACCAATATACCGAGGGGGAAGCCCATGTAGCGGGAGTGGCTGTGCCCAAAGGACCTGACCACGGGGCTATCTACAGAGGCAGGATGGCATTTTTGTAAAACCTCTGAAGAACCATACTCACAGCCAATCGCCAGGTAGCGGAAGAAGAGCCACCCGCTGATCAGTGGCTCCTTGGGGTTCCGAGGTGGCTTGTTCATGATGTCCAGGTCCGGAGGGTTGAAGCCCAGGGCCGTGGCGGGCAGGCCATCGGTCACCAGGTTGACCCAGAGTAGCTGGACAGGGATAAGCGCCTCAGGGAACCCCAGGGCTGCGGTCAGGAAGATGCTGTTCAGGGAGAGAGAGGTGGTGAGCGTGGCCCGGCCCAGCCACAGCACGACGCCCGTCCACGCTCCTGTCCTGACCCCAGGAGACCCACCAGACGACCTCCCCGACGTTGGAGGAGATAAGGTAGCGGATGAACTGCTTCATGTTGTTGTAGATGGCCCGGCCCTCCTCCACTGCAGCCACGATGGTGGAGAAGTTGTCGTCGGCCAGCACCATCTCGGAGGCCGTCTTGGCCACGGCGGTGCCAGAGCCCATGGCGATGCCGATCTCGGACTTCTTGAGCGCAGGTGCATCGTTCACCCCATCCCCCGTCTGCAAGAGAGCAGGGATGTAGTGGCCACAGGACTCGGAGGGCAGCCGCATGCCTCCCTTGGGAACCCTGTGTCTAGCTTAACATTCTGGAAGTCGTGAATGAAAGCATGCCATCGCCAAGTGCACCTCTGATGGAGCTGCCCCCACGGCGATGTCCCCCCCACCCCGGGCCCGTGCAGCAGGGCTCACCATGGCCGTGATCTCGTCGAAGGACTGCAGGAACTCCACGATCTTGGACTTATGGGAGGGTTCCACGCGGGCGAAGCAGCGGGCTGTAAGGCACGCGTCCCTCTGCGCCGGGGGGCTGAGCTCGTCGAACTCGCGGCCCGTGAAGGCCTTGGACGTCACGTCTTCATCCGGAGCGAAGATGCCGATGCGGCGGCAGATGGCCACGGCCGTCCCCTTGTTGTCCCCGGTGATCATGATGACGCGGATGCCCGCCTGCCTGCACAGCTTCACTGAGGAGGCCACTTCGATCCTCGGGGGGTCCAGCATGCCCACGCAGCCGACAAAGGTCAGGTTGGTCTGAGTGGAAGAGAAGGCCCTTACTTTTTTTACAGAAAATCTGTATAACTAGCTAGAAATGAAAAGCTAACTATTAGACATTTTCTCTTTAGTAATTTGTTATTGAGAACACAGCAGAACACACCCATGGCGGGTTGAACTCCTGTGGTGGCCACCTCGCCAACAGTGCCTGTCGCTGGAAGGCGTGAGGGCGATGCCTGGGGACACTCACCTCATACTTGATGAAGTTGGCCGAGTCCTCCAGGTTCATCTCCTCTCTCCTCAGTGGGCTGTCGTGCGTGGCCAGAGCCAGGCAGCGCAGGGTGTCGCTGCCACTGCCCCACTCTCGAATGACAGACATGATCTTCTGCTTGACGCCGGGGGTCATGGGGACCTTGGTGCTTCCGACCCGGATGTGGCTGCAGCGGTCAATGACGCCTTCGGGAGCCCCCTGTGAAGGGGTGAGGAGGCGTTAGCTGGCTGGGGTGGGCCGGGTGGCAGGGTGTCCATTCTAGAATGGGACTTGCCTTCACAAACATCTTGCTCATGGAGGTCCGGCTGGGCTTGTTTGGCGTACAGTAAACGGACATGGACTTTCGATCTCGTGAAAACTCCAGGGTAAATTCTTTCTTCATCAGTTGTTTAATGACCTGTTATAAAAAAGTCAAGGGATGGCAAGCTTTTGAAAAATGTCGTCTCACTTAACACTTGTCCTGGCCAGCTCCTCACCGGCAAGGAGGGTACACAGCAGGGAGCGGCCACCACGGCTCTTCCTGTGAGACGCGTGTGCTGTACACACGACACTTGGGCAGAACTCAGGAAAGTGTCCTGTCCTCCCGGACAACAGGAGGGGCCACGCTACCTGCTGCAGGGTCTCTACACTGGCATGTGGCCTTGGTCCATCTGCCCCTTTTCCATCTGTGCAGCGGTGGGGGACAGAGGGCCAGGGGGGAGGCTAAATGCACACTCGGGGTCCAGGTGCGCCGGTCACAGGGACCTCCTCCTGGGCCCCCCCCCAGGGCAGCACTATGCCCTGTCAGTTCAAGGCCGAGCGAGTGACAGGCTCAGAGAGCTGGACATCTGGGTCACACGGATGGAATGGTGAGTGCCTTTAGATCTTTTCCATAACTGTGGAGAGAGAGGACCTCAGAGCATCACAGGCCCCTGTCCAAGGAGGCAGGAAGACCCCAGAGGGGCAGGTGAATGAAAACGACATCCCACGTGGAGGACAGTGGTGCTGGGCTTGGCTTCTGCCTGAGGAGGACAGGCCTCTCGCCGCTCCTCCACTCCACCTGCACAGGTGACACGGAGCAGCCACCTGGTCTTGTTTTCACACGTGTGTGCAAACATGCTCACAAGCACAGACAATGTCTAACAGCAGGTCCCCATGACCAGAAGCGTGCTGGATGGATCTCTGGTCCATTTCTAGGCTGGGCTGCCTCCACAAAGGACCAGGTTTAACCCCTACTGCCTCTTCTGGTGGGCTGACCAGAGGGCGATCAGGACGTGGAGAGCACAGAAAACAGCCAAGCCGTGGTCACCTCGTCGATGGGTGGAGTATGGCCATCAGCCTGGGTTTCTGCCCAGCAGTTTGCACAGGGAGTGGCCCTAGTGACCAGCATCACAGCCGCTTCCCGCTGCTCTGAAGAGGAGGGTGGTAAGTGCATGCCCTTCCAGGTCCAGAGTGACAGGATCCTGGCTCTTGGTCAGAGAAGCTGGGCCTCCAGGTGGCCATGCAGGGCTCAGTCACAGCAGGGGTGTGGCTCTGGTGGCCAGACAGGTAGACCCTCTGAGTGCACGTGGCAGCAGCACAGAGCCACCTTGTGGCTCTCTGGGATGGCCGATTCCTTGGGCCAGTGTGAAGGTGACATCTGTCTGGGTTAGAGTAGCCTGAGCTTTGTCGTGGTCACTAAAATCCCACAGTGGACAGTGGCCTAGTTTGGCTCCGTGCACCTTTGTTACTGTCTTTTGGTTTACTGTCCACTGAGACGAATTCCACCAGGGACCCTCAGGCACAAAGGAGTCAATGCCCAGAGCTGGGCAGGTCACGGCTGAGGCTGGGCCAGGTGCCCTGAGATCAGTCATGGGCATAGTTGCACTGGGCAGAGGGAAGGCAGGCTGCTTCAACACAGCCCAGGGCTCTGATGCTGGCCTGCTGGAAGCGGGGCTGCTCTGAGTTTTCTGATCTCTTCTGCCGTCCTCTCTAGTCTGCATGCCAGTTCTCATGCAGAGGTGAAAGGACAGCTGGGTTCTGGGCCCAGCCACTGCAGGCTCGAGGGCTGACCCATTAGGAGGGTGGAGCAGCCTGGCTGCAGCTGAGGTGACCAGTGGCCCTGGCTGCAGGCACCAGCCCCAAAGTGACCGGTTCCTGATGGTGGGGGATTCCTAAGGCACTAGCTGACCCCTGTGCCGTTTGGTGCCTCTGCTCCTGAATCACCAACAGCCATTGTAACCTCTTCTGCGTCCGCACCAGGTCTTCCCGGGACTGGGGGCCTCAATCGACTTTCCTTTTCATTACACAAATGTGTCAACGTGACCATGTGTCTCCCTCTTCTTCAGAATTCACCAGTAAAAAGGCTTGTGCCAACTCCTCCTGAATTGTTAAAAGTCAGGCAAGACCGGCTTACGGTTGTGCTTCCTTGACCCTGTGTGGTGAGGGCTTCCTGGGCAGGTCACCGTGCATGTACTTGGAGGATGGGGCTGAGGAGCATGTGGCCATGCTGTGCCAGCGTCCTCGTCCTTCCTGACCTCTCACCTGCTCTGCATGCAGGCGCTTCCTGGGCCCGAATGTGCTGACCGTGGCACTGTCCTATGGCCACTGTGATAAGGAGGGTTCCTATACAACTTAGGAGTGGACAGGAGTCAGGTGCCAGGGGACAGGAAAGAGTGCCGAGGGAAACCTGGGTGGGCATGGCGGGCCCTCCCAGCACCGGGCCTGGGAAGAGGACAGACCACACTGCAGTACTGACCGAGTTGCAGGCGTTCGCTCGCTCTATTTTAGAAAGACCCTTCAATTCCGTATCGAACACGTTCATCTTCTCCACCAGACACGTGAGTGCAGTCTCTGTAGCCTCTCCCACTTTTTCGTACACACCCTTTGCCTGTTTGGGGAAAGAGGGACGTGTTTATAACAGTTCCAGTGGACACCTGTCCTCCAGGCCCCACCATATCCCAGTGGGTCCCAGGCTCCAGCCTGGAAGATGCATTTTTTCATTCTGACACTGTCTAGCTGGGGTCTCCTGATGGTGAGCTAGATACCAAGGGTTTGTCACCTCACTGGAGATGACTGCTTCACCTTAAAGGACACCTTGCGAACTCATGGAGATACTTTCTGTCTTTTGTCTACCAGTAGTAACTATACCAGGGACAGGCAGGCTGCCTACTGCCCGCCTGTAGAGGCTGCAATGCACAGTCAACAGGAACGAAGGGCTGGTAGGCCGGGCCTGATGTGGCCGGCTGACTTCCATCCTGCCCACCTACACCAGTGTGGGGGCAGTTACCTCATTGTAATCCAACGCTGAGTCATTGCAGAGAGCACAGATTGTTGCCAATTCAACAAGACCATCGTACTGATGACATTTCACAGGTTTGTCATCCTTGTGCCTGTCAGAAAGAGGACAATGCCCCAGACCCTTAGACCACGGGGTGGTGGACAAAGGGCCAGTAACAGGATGGCTTGTGGAAACTCTCCAACACCAGGCTTCAAATATCAGAGGGATACCATGAGCACTTCTGAAACCCCCACCATACCCCCCAGGCTCTGGGCTTTCTGGCCGCTGTATGAACCTGGGAAGGGCACTGGCTTTATGACCCACCCACACAGATGCTGACCCTCCACAAGACAAAAGGACCACTCACACTTCTCCAATAGGCGCGTATGTTGATCCAGTTATAGTGAACTCATTAAGAGAACAAGAATCACCTTCAACTTTGTCCAGGATGAACATCTGCAAGAACCAACCACAATGAAAAGCTGTAAAGTGTTACTTAAGCAAAGGCAGCAAGCCCTTCTCACTGAAGTGGTTCTTTTGGTTATTTTCCCTCCTTCACATCAGAGGAGTACAGGGTTTAAGGGAGGCACATGTCACATCCAAAAAAGAATCAAGAAAACAAGTCCTGATGAAGGTTATTGAGCTGTCACTATACTGCGTCCTCACCATTTAGTCACACAGTGTGAGAACCAGCTGGTCTGGTCACTAACTCGTGGAATCCAGGGCTGAGGCCGGTCTCCTGGAGACCTGTGGTGCTCATCTGTGAACACCCACCTGAGCTGGCCGAGAAAGCTGGAGTGCGTGGCCCGAGCGCACGCGTGGGAAGAACCTCCACCGTGGGGGCACACACTCCCTTCACGCTGACCCGCTCGCTGCTGGTCTCTTCCTCTCCTCCTGTGGCGGGAGTTCCTCTCCTTCAACCTGTGCCCAGGTGTGTAGGTAAGAGCTCTCTGGGCAGGGACCCCAAAACAGGTCCAAGGGGCACAACTAACATTCTTAATGACACTCCTTTTACTACGTGGTCTAGGATTACCTACTAAATCATCTCCACCGACTTCTCTCAAGCTCTTAGTTCTAACTTCTTGTTCTGTGCCTGCGACCCTGTGTACAGCTTGTCCTGTCCTGAGCTAGTTTCAGGATTCCAACACACCTACCCCATTGCCTCAGGTACTCTATCATTCCAGTTCATCCAGGGTCTTCCTCTCTTGCGCTGTGCCCCCACCCTTCCAAGGAGTCAAAAGCCACTGGTGAAAAGCCAGCTGCAGAGAACTCCTGTTGACAGTACCGGGAGCAACCTTCAGGTCCACCCCGACCAGGGGGGCATGCACGCACTGCAGACGGTGGGCACGGGCCGTGACGAGCTGCCCGTGAAGGGCAGTTACATAACACGCCGCAGGCCACCTCTGGTGGTGAATGCTGACCAGCACCGCTCTCGGGGCCCATCAGACCGTGACACCCTCCTCGGAACAGGCCAGCCTTTCCTTTTGTAAGAAAACAGTCCTAATCAAACCACTTGAGACTGAAAAAGGCCAAAACACTGCTTTCTCTTCTGGAACACAGACCATCTACGGAATGAACCTTTCAGACTAAATTTCCCGGGGTGGGGTGGGGTGGGGGAGGGATGAAGTACTAGCTTCTCCCCAAACCGCCCGTGTGAACAGTCATTCTGGGGTCGGAGGAGCAGGAATTCAATCGAATCCCAAGGAGACTTGGCTGGTCGCTGAGCTGGGGAGAAGCTGTCTGGAAGCCTGGTTTGTGGGGAGAGTGAAACTTCTGTGTGGACTTGGGGCACGGATCTGATAGTCACTAGGAATTTAAAACCTAAACCATTTCCAGTGGTCAACACGCCACAAAGCCTCCAGCCTAGAAAGCAGGGTGAGCTAGGCTCTCCGGTGTGTGAACAGGTGATTTTGCTTCCTAGGGAAACGAAAGACCGTGTGATGTGGCCGTTTATCACCAATCAGGGATGTGCCCGGTAGGACAGAGAAGCTCTGTGGAAGTCCTGACTGCACTGTGTAACAGATCGAACCCCAGTGTCTGAGGTAATACCTGTGCTTCTTCCTGCCCAGTTCCTCAAACGCTCTGCTCACCCGGTTTTACTAGAAATCTTGGTCACATTGTTAAGGAGCTCAACGGAACCTCAGACAGCTCCCCCCGTTGGAAAGTTGTGCGGTCCTGCTCTACAGCCACCAGGTTTGAGTGCGAGGCCTGAGCCAGCAGCCTGACAGAAGTGCCCCGGAAGCCAGAGCGTCCCGGGAGGTGTCTGGAGGTGTGAGCTCTTACCCTGCAGACTGACATCTGGTTTGTCGTCAGCGTGCCCGTCTTGTCTGAGCAGATGACGGAGGTGCAGCCCAGAGTTTCCACAGAAGGCAGACTACGGACAATGGCATTTTTCTTTGCCATTCTTCGCGTTCCGAGGGCCAGGCAGGTGGTGATGACCGCGGGCAGGCCTTCAGGAATGGCGGCGACGGCCAGGGCCACGGCAATCTTGAAGTAGTAGATGGCGCCTCGGATCCAGGAGCCTCCGTGCACAGGGTCGTTGAAGTGCCCGATGTTGATGATCCAGACGGCGATGCAGATGAGAGAGATGACCTTGGACAGCTGCTCTCCAAACTCATCGAGCTTCTGCTGGAGAGGCGTCCGCTCCTGCTCCGTGGCCACCATCTCGTCCCGGATCTTGCCGATCTCGGTGTTGACGCCAGTTGCCACGACCACTCCCATGGCTTTTCCAGCGGCAATGTTGGTGCCCTGGGACAGCGCGGGAGGCTGGTTAGAGATGCCCACCCCACCCCTTCCCACAGGCACTGCCCCCTTTGGCTGCATGCCCCTTGGTGACAGTGGGAGGCCAGCCACACTGGCGATGGCCCCGCCTTCATCAGGTAGACAGGGGGCTTTGTCTTTCTCGGACTGCAGTCCGCGCAGAACCCAGTGCTCACCCACCCCATCTGTGGGAAGGAGAGGACGAGGGTGGCCGCAGCAGAATGCTGGGTGCCCTTCTCAATACACACCCTTGTTACCCACAAGCAAGCAGCCGAGAGTCTGAGTCTCCCCCATAGCTCTGCCTGCTGGCATGGGGACCCATACAACAGTCAGCTCTGGGACCGCCACTGGCCACATGCTCGGCAATACTCACGGAGAACAGCATGTTCTTCTTGTCCTGGTTGACGGCCCGTGGGTCAGGGACAGGGTCAGTGTGCTTGATGACAGACACAGACTCTCCTGGGCAGGGGGAGGGGCCGGTCAGCACAGAGCTGTCTCCTCAGAGCCCAGGCATCCCCCCTTACACATGGGGGGTCAACATCGCCTTAGCAGTATTAAAATTAACAAAGCAACTTAATGTGCATTATCTGTATGACAACAATATATACGGAACAAGAGGGTCATTGCAAAGTGCACTAGGGGAGGAGGGAAGAAAATGTGCAACGGTGAATGAATAAAAAGAAAGCTGTTTAAAAAGAAGAAGATAGTTACTAGGAAATACTTTAAGATGTTTACAACAATCTCAATTAAGTGAATACACTTTTTGAGCTGTAAAATATTATGAAATCTAAAGATGATTTTCAATAATTTTTAAACAGCTCAATCTGCGGCTACACCCTTAAGATGGCACCGTACCCAGGCCAGCTTTCCCCCAGTGACACCGGGAGCAAGGCCTGGGCCACAGCGCACACTCAGGCAGCCCAGAACCTTCCTGGGTGGAGACGGTCGCACACTCAGCCTGCCCACTTCCCCATCATTTGCACGGATTCCTTTCCAGTTTGTTGCTACTCATGGGATTATTTAAGGAGACGAGCTCTCCCTGAGGAAGTCATTTGAAAGAGCTCAGGTTACATTACCTTTATAATACTGGTTGATTTTAAAAGCTGACAGTGTGATTGCCAATCATTACTGACCAAATAGCATTAAGATTTAATCTTCTTACCACCTTATGTGAGGGGAGCCTCACAGAGAATGTGTGCCACCTTTCTGACACTGACTTTTGTTTACTGTACATGTGATTTCTAAGAAGTGTTAGATACAAGATTAGCATTTCTACAAAGGAAACCATTTCCACACTGTAGTCTATCAACAGCCATGAAAGAAGACACAAAGTACTTCACTTGCCACAAAACCCTTAAACGTTAGGGTGACTGCCTGAGCTAACCACAATACCTTGGATTTACATCCTTAGTAAGAGTAGATGTTCTTTACAGGGACCCCCTCACAATGAAGGCACTTGTTTGCACTCTGCAGCGTCACCGATTGATTAAGTGGGGACACCCTACGCGGGACGGTGGGGCCTGCCAGCCCTTCTGACAGAGGACATGTTTACCTGTGAGAATCGACTGGTCCACTCTCAGCGTTGTTGATTTGATGGAAGTTAGTCTTATATCAGCTGGAACTTTGTCGCCAACTAGTTAGGGGAAAGAAAGAAGGAGTTAAAATAAGCTGACAATCACACTACATTCAAATACATGAGTAACTGTTAAAAACCTCTAGTGGTCACTGCTGAGGCCACCATGGTGACTAGACTCACAGCCTTCCCCAAGAATGCCTGGGCCAAGGAGCCGGTGCTGGTCGAGGCCTTCACCACTGTGGGCCTCACTGTAATTCTGCTCCCACTAAGCCCCTAGACCAAGTATGCCTCCATGATCGAGATCACTCCCTACAGCTACCTAGTGCCCCCGCAGGGTTCCAGCCTGGAGTGGCTGAAGAAACTGAGCACCTTCGCAGTCCCCAATAAAAACCTGAAACACCCCAAAACAAACAAAAAACCGTACAGGGGTAACTGAGGACCATTAGGCCACGGGTGGTTCTGCGTGCACTCCCGGACAGGCCGGGAGCAAGGCTGGCTCTGGGTCTGTTTGCCCCCGCGCTAGGTTTTGTTGAGGAATTTTAAGTAACTTCTGTGTTTTTGTTGGGCTATTGGGCATATATATATAAAGGCATGGAGGAAAGTGGGAAAGGAGATGGCAAGAACACTACTTCTCAGTCGTGGTCCCAGACACTACGGCCACTCTAGAAAGCTGCAAATGTACGGCTTTTAAACTGGTGAATTCCTGACTTCATTCTGTAGATGCTCACATGGTGTGGTCATTCAACAGGGTAAGACACAACTCCCTGCATCATAAAGTGTGTCTGCTCAGAAACAAGGCAGGTACTGCTGTGTAGGACACCTCTGGGCAGGGGGAACACGCACCGGGAAGTCAGGGGCAGAAGGAGGGAGGCTCATCTCCTTGGTGCCTGCACAACAATGACTGAACCTCTGCGATCACCTCATCTAGGGTGTAGCATGGCTTGACTCCTCAAGGACCCACTCCTGAGCACCTTCCCTGGTCCGAATCAAGATGCACAACCAATGCCAACATTCATGGGTACCTCAAAAATAGTCCTGGCCCCACACTGTCCCCCCATCTGGAGCACAGCATGAAGTTCACCAGTTCAATGAGCCAGGCGAACGTCACATCCACACTGCGAGACCAGAAGCAGATAGCACCTGCCTGGTGAGCATGCGGACCGCTCGGAACAGCATCCCAGTAGAAGCGCTTGACAGTGGAGGAAGAAATGATCAAAACCCCAAACCAAAATGAACTTGGAGTGGACTTCACGGCCAGGGCTCAACGTTCAGCCAACAGCAGACAGGCCCTACGAGGTAAGCCCCTAACACCTGGGAGGTGTGCACGTTAAGGTCAACAGGGTAGCATCTGCCCAGAAAGCAGGCACAGGAGGCGGACAGGACAGAAGGCCAAAGGAAATGGGAACAAAGGACAGGATAGGAAGAGTTCTCACTGTAGAGGGATCACTATTAACGTCCTACAACATTTGCACAGACTCTTGAAAACCAATTAGCTCTGTGAACTTCCACTCAAACCACAACAAATCACAAAAGTGTAAAATAAATATACACATACACATATAATAGAAAAAATTTGTTTTTCTTAAAGGGACCCTGGCTATCTTATGCAAGAACAGTTAAAAATTATATTAAGTCCATCTTCCCTAGAATTGCACATGGAAACACATTTTTTAAAAAAAATTATTATTGTGTGTGTGTGTGTGTACCATCAAATCAGGTATGACGGGTACAGGAGGAAACTGCCCCTCCTTCAGCAGAGCATCTGGTGGATTTGAACCATGCACCTCTGGGATTGCAGTGCAGCTTCTTGCCACTAGGCCACCAGAGCTCCCTTGGAAACACATTTAAACACATTTAAAGTTTTGAAAATAAAATTCCCTCTGGCACACTTCTTTGCCCTGTTAAATCAGCTTCATGCCTTCCCACTGTCCTGCACGTCAGAGTTCTAGAACTCGCAGCAGTGTTCCTCAGTTCCTGACGCAGCCCCAGGAGCACTGTGGTGACAGGCAGCAGCAGGTAACCTCCCAAGGGAGGCCGCCCTCACCCGCCCAGCTCACTGCAGGGACATGGCGAGTAGAGTGGAGGCTCCTAGTGGAAGCGCTTACGCAACAGACAGCAATAATCGGAAACTCCCATGTTAGTGGGATTCTCACATCCCACAAAAGGTATGCTTTTGAACAGATGATCAGAAGAGATGAAGTGACCATACTTTAAATTGTAGTGACTTCACCCTGACAATAGGTAACACTTAATTTTTGATGATGAAAATTTTTAAACCAAATGAAAAAAAATCTTTACTATTTCCGCTTGTTGTGAATAATGTAATTCCATGGGCTCTCAGACATGAAAAGGAAACAGCTTGAATTCTATGAGAAACACGACCCCCAAGGAAGATGTGAAAGTGTACCTTTCATGTCTGGACTGAGTGAGGTCACCGTCCCACAGGACCAGAAATTAAGCAGTGACATACCCTGAGCACATAGCAGCCAGTTCAAGACAATGTGCTGGAGTCTGCTCAACAACTCGGTATGAACCCTGGACCTGCATACGCCAACCCCAATCTCCACTCCACACCAAACAGCTGTCGCACTCAACGGGCACTTACATGGGCTGTAGTAAACACGCTTGCTCTGCCCAAAACCCGTATCAATACTTGCCTCCCTCCCCTACAGCAATTCACCAACATTAAATGCCTGGGAAAGGCATTTAATGCGTGGTCTCTCCTTGTCATGTCTTAGTTCTAACTGTAAGGTAACTATTTAGGAATTAAAAAAAAATCATTCTGGAGTGTGTGTGGGTGTCAGATGGACTTTAAAAACAGTACAAGTAAAATAACTGGGCTCAGAAATCCCAAGATTTCTATGTTGGGCAGTCCTGGCCATCTGCACTTCACTGCCCCTGGTGTGCCAGATTCAAACCAGGGATCGAGGCCACACAACACCAGTGAGACGGGTTAGACGCTGGCCTTGCTGTGTCCACCAGCTGAAAGGCACTAAAGCATGCGTTTAGCATCCTGCCATAGTCAATTTTCTGAGCAATGAGTCCATGCAGCCCCATGGCCAACCTACCCGCTCATTCATGGCAGGAAGCTGTGAAAGATCCAACTCAGGCTTGAGTCTGCTAGAAAGTAGGTTCTCAGGTGAAAGGTCATGAGAAGTGAAGACCACCAGCAGTGAGAGGGGAAGTGGTCTCCTTTGTCCAGAGGCTTCTGTGAGTGTCAGGTGGTTCTGTGCATGTGAGGGGCGGCCATGATCACGTCGGATATTTCCCTGATGGGGCACAGTCACCCCGAGGGCAAGCACGAGTGTAAAATTCTAACATGTGCCATCAACCCCTCCAATTCTTCTCCCATCTATTTGGGTCACAGGTGACAGGTATAAGGCAATCAACTTGGTAATAAAAAGACCTATTTGTGTAACATCTGACACTTCCTTTGTCTCCCTAAATCTAGACCTCTTTAACCTGTTACTGTTGTGGAGATAATCTTCACTCTCAACTAAGTCCTCCAAGAATACTTGAGGGGTCAGCAACAGTTCAAAAAGAGTCTGTTAAAAAGAGATGATGACTTCCGTTTCAGACCTTTTCTTAATCATGTAACGGAGACAAGACTGCTTTAAACCATGGTCCTGGAGTGCGGTTAGTGGGGCTCATTTACAGGAAGCCCTTCTGGAGACCTGCTTCACAGCATCTCATCTAGTGCAGCAAAACTCTGGAGGGGGGTCAGACGTTTTCCTCTCTGAAAGGGAACACTCCGGAAGACCAGAAATAGCTCCCAAATACCACTCTCTTTTTCATTTAAACAGCTCCTCACAAAGGCAAGCCATAATAATTAATTAACCCAAATTACTGCAAACAGCTAAGTGTGACTCAAATATCCTCTACTGTTCCCAAGTTGAGACACAAATTCAGTAGTCAAGCAAAAAGAATAAATTCTTCACCCGAGCAGCCCTATTCCAGGCCATGAAGGAAAGCACTGAGCTGCCTCCCAATCCGTGTTGTCAGCTGGTGCGTTTTGTTTGCTTTTAGTGGGGGAGTGTTTTCTATGTGGAAACGAGACCTGGCGTGCAGGTGGGGACGTGTTCCTGGGATGCCTCATCCTTCATAAATGCCAACGGAATGGGGGGAGGGATCTCTATTTGGGCCGTGCTCCTCAGACACCAAGAGCCGGAGCACACACCCACGAGGAGCAGGGGGTCAGCTGGAGGCACCCAGAGCTGCTGCGGAAGGTCCTGATGTGTCCAGAATACGGGGCAGGCGCAGTCGCCTAACTGCATTCAGTGGAGACCAAGGACCGACCAAGATGGAGGCACCAGCAAGTTCAAGGGTGCAGACCAACTCTGGCATGTTCCAGGACACAGTACATTGTGAGGTGAGAAGCTACCACCAAGGGCCACACGCTGCTGGGACAGGGGTCCGGTGCCACTCAAGGCTTTCGAGAGGCCCCTTCAAACGACCTCCAAAGCCCTGACGAGCAAGGAAGACACTTCTCTGTGCTTCCAAAGCAAAAATGTTATGCACAGGACAAAGGTATTAGTACTGGCTATCCTTAAATTTTATGATTGGCTAACAATGGCAGGTGGCCCAAACAGGCAATTTCCAGTTACATAAAATCAAGACTAATCATTAACGCAGTTGATGTACTGACCCCTCCTCTACCCAGGACATTCCATTTCATGGAACAGAATCACAGGCCTTTTCAAGTAATAACAGAAACCTGCCTCTTTCCACGGTCCCTACGAAACACTTAAAATGTTTCTTCTGCCTCAGGTGCTGTGGCCGGGGCTTAGACAACCCTGACTCTATCTCCACAGCAGCTCTCAGAAGGGTCAAGCTGCTCCCAATATACAGACCTGAAGCACGAAGCCCAGAGGGCACAGCCACGTATGGACCGATGGCCACCCCAGGGTTTCCGATTCTCCCCTAGAAGCTTGTATTTCTTCCAAATCCTGACCCTGCCATTTCACAAGCACTGGTAGTTCTATGCACTTCAGATTGTCAAAATTTCTGATGTTAATTACTTCAGCATAAATAAATCTTAAATCTCTGCAAACTGTTTT